GAGGAGGAGGAGGAGGAGGAGGAGGAGGAGAAGGATTGAGGGGTCCTTGGTGCTCTCTGAGCTTGGCTGCTTTCTTGCAGACGTTTTATGACCCAACTAGGTAACATCATCAGTGCTAGAAGGGTGTGGGATTTGTGGAGAGGAGAAGGACTGTGGCGTCCTTGGTGCTCTCTGAGCTTGGTTGCTTTCTTGAAAATGTTTTATGACCGAACTAGGTAACGTCATCAGTGTTAGAAGGGAGTGGTTTTTGTGGAGTGGAGGAGGAGGAAGAAAAGGATGTGGGGTCCTTGGTGATTTTCTTGCAGACATATCATTAATCAACTAGGTAGCATCATCAGTGCTAGAAAGTAGGAGGAGGAGGAGGATGACGACAACTGCAAGACCCTTGGTGCTCTCTAAACTTGACTGTTTTCTTGAAGACATTTCATTGCCCAACTAGGTAATATCATCAGTGCTAGAAGGGAGACGGGTTTGTGGAGAGGAGGAGCAGGAGGAGGAGAAGGACTGTGGGGTCCTTCGTGCTCTCTGAGCTTGGCTGATTTCTTGAAGACATTTCATTGCCCAACTAGGTCACATCATCAGTGCTAGAAGGGAGTGGGGTGCATGCAGAAAGGAGAAGAACAAAGACAACTGTGGGGTCCTTGCTGTTCTCTGAGCTTGGTGCTTTTCTTGCAGACATTTCATTACCAAGCTAGGTAACATCATCAGTGCTCCTGTAGTATAAACTAGAGAGTAGTAGATGTTGAGAGAAAAGAGGCCTCTAGCTATCGCTGTCTTTGGCCTCAACAGCGCCCTCGGCTGTTCATGCCAAAGGACTGCACCCTTGGGGGAAAAAAACCCCTTCTTCTGGAGTTAGATCAGTGGTTCTCAACCTGTGGGTCGGGACCCCATTTGGGGTCGATCGACCATTTCACGGGGGTCGCCAAGCAAGGCTGTCCGCCATTTTTTTTGCCCGCCATTTTTTTTCCCTTTTCCGGCGGGTGCCTTACCTCCCTTGGGCTGGGCCAGCTGGTCGGCCTGCTCCGTCTCTGCCGCTTGCCAGCTACGCCTCGGCCGGCGCAGGGGGCAGAACCACGCATGCGTGGCGCTCCCGGGCAGGGAAAATCCTCGACTTACAACCGGTTGGGTAGTCCTCGACTTATGATCGGTTTAGTCCTCGACTTACGACCGGTTTAGTCCTCGACTTACGACCGGTTGGGGTCGCGGCATTAAAAAGGTTGAGAACCACTGAGTTAGATGCTCCTGGCTTTATCACCCTCTCCCTGCCTCAGGTGGAGACCCAAGGGACAGCAGATGGGTGTCCTTCTACTCACCCTCCCAAGGATCCTTCTCTGGGATCACGACGCCCCAGGCGTCCGCCAGATGGGTCAGGAGCAGGTTGGTGATCCTGCGATGCACCACGTTGTTCCAGTGGATGCCATCTTTGACCCGGTTCCCCACGTCGAAGCGGAAGTGGAAGTGGAGGTCCACCACGTCAAAAAGGTGGAGGGCAGCCAGCGTGGCCCCGTAGAAGTTGCCTTCAATGATGTCCTTGCGGAGGGTCTGGTTCAGGTGCTGCAGCTGGGAGACAGTAGGAAATAAGGGGCAAACTTCCCTTGGCTGGCCAAGCAGGGGGTTGGACTAGAAGACCTCCAAGGTGCCCTTCCAGCTCCAGTCTGTGTTCTGTGCTATGATGAAAGGCAGACATTTCATTTCCCAACTAGGTAATATTATCGGTGCTAGAAGCGAGTGGGGTGTACAAGGAGGAGGAGGAGGAGAAAGATGACTGTGGGGTCTTTGGTGCTTGCTGGTTTTCTTGCAGACGTTTCACGACCCAACTAGGGAACATCATCAGTGCTAGGAGGGAGGAGGAGGAGGATTGTGGAGGTCTTTGATGCTCTCTGAGTTTGGAGACATTTCATGGCCCCACTAGGGAACATCATCAGTGTTAGAAGGGAGGGGGTGTGCAGAGTGGAAGAGGAGGACTGTGGGGGTCTTTGATGCTCTCTGAGTTTGGAGACATTTCATGACCCAACTAGGGAACATCATCAGTGCTAGAAGGGAGGGGGGGTGCAGAGAGGAGGACGATGACTGTGGGGTCCTTCGGTCTCTCTGAACTTGGTTTTCTTGCAGACGTTTCATTACCAAACTAGGAAACATCCGTGCAGAGGGGATATATGTAAATTCCAATGCTAATTCCAATTAGTAGAGAACCTTTTGATGCTCGTCGCAGATTAACCAAATCCCAGCACACCACAGAGAAGCCTTACAAGGAGCACCTGGAACAAACCACACACCAACGCTGACAACCCCCGTCAAGACCACACCTCTAAGACAAGAAGCAGACTGGGGGATTCCTTCTCCTACCTCTGGTATAAGGAAGCCACCTTTGATCCTGGGTCCAAGAGGCATGGTCATGTTCCAGATGACCAAACAGGAGGATGAGAGTTCAGCATCCAATCTGTTGAAAGTGATCTCCAGATTCTTGCGGTATTCCATCATGGAAGACGGGCCGTATCTGCTCAGAGACACAAAAAAAAAACACCAGAATCTGAAACCCTCCATACCGCTCTATAAATAAACTTTGCTCTATAAAGACCACATCTAGAATCCTGCATCCAGGTTTAGTCACCACATTATTAAAAAAAAGATGTTGTAGTGTAGTCCACACTACAGCTTGGGGTGAAAGCAACAGACGAGCATCCACAAGGGTGTAAGTCCGGGGTGTTCAACCTTGGCCATTTTACACCTTGTGGACTTCAACTCCCAGAATGCATGGCTGGCTGAGGAATTTTGGGAGTTGAAGTCCAGGAGTGGTAAAGTTGCCGAGGTCCTAAAGGATTTCAGGCCTTTGAACCACCAAGAGCCCTCTGAAGGTCATCCAACGGTTGACACCCACGACGGACGACGGGCTACCTGGAAACATCCCAAACACAAGAATTGAGGATCAAAACATCTGGCGGTGGGCCAGCCCGGAAATCGTCGAGGATGCTTTCCAGATATGCCGAGTAGATCCGAGTCAGGAAGTAGAAGCGGACGAGATGATAACGGGTGCGATACTGACGGACTTCCCGGTAATGAATTCCGTTGTGTAGGCCCTCAAGCACACCGCCTTCGATTAGGTGGTCGTTTTCAAAAGTGAATTCGCCCTGGAGAGAGAAAAGAACAGACGTTCGATAAGCTCCAGATGTAGCACTAGCAATAGCCCTTAGACTTATATACCGCTTTATAGTGCTTTTATAGCCCTCTCTAAGCAGTTTACAGAGTCAGTATCTGAGCCCCCCCCCCCCCAACAATCTGGGTCCTCATTTTACCAACCACAAAAGGATGGAAGGCTGAGTCAACCTTGAGCCGGTCAGGATCAAACTCCTGGCAGTGGGCAGAGTTTGTCTGCAATGCTGCATTCTCACCACTGTGCCGCCATGGCTCATGTATCATCTATGATAGATGGATGGATGGATGGATGGATGATGGGTGGGTGGATAGATAGATAGATAGATAGATAGATAGATAGATAGATAGATAGATAGATAGATAGATAGATAGATAGATAGAGTAAATAAATGATAGAAGATAGATGATAGAAGACAAATAGATGACAGACAGGTAGAAGATAGGATTGATAGAAGATAGACGATAGACAGAAGATAGATAAATGATAGTAGATAGATAGATAGATAGATAGATAGATAGATAGATAGATAGATAGATAGATAGATAGATAGAAGACAGACAGATAGAAGATAGATAGACAGACAGATAGAAGATAGACAGAAAAACAGATAGGCAGGCAGGCAGATGTGTGTGTGTGTGAGAGAGAGCATATTTCCTCGAAAATAAGACCTGGTCTTTTTTTATTTTATTTTTTATTTTTATTTTTGCAGCAAAAGACGCATTAGGGCTTATTTTCGGGGAAACCCGATATCAGGGTGATCAGCCTAGCCAGGTGACCCACCCCCAGCGCATGCATAAGGGGTAGGCAGGTGATCCCAATGCACCAGGTGGCCGCGGGCAAGCCGAGAGACGGTGGGACGGAGCGGGCAGCATGTCGGGATTGCCTGCCTCCCCTCCCCCCCCCCCGCCTCTGTGCTTGGACTTACCTGTGCTGCGCTCGTGCTGGTGGGACGTTCGGGGCAGGGCGATGCTAGCGCCGGTGGGACGCTCGGAGCGGCGCTAGCACGAGAGTGGGCAGTGAGTACAAGCACAGACGTGGACTGGACATCCCTTCATGCGGCCCGGTGGCCAAGAGGCCACAGCCCAGCAGTGGGCCGCGGTCCACAGATTGGAGACCTCTGGACTAGAAGACCTCTGAGGTGCCCTCAACAGCCCTGTTATATGTCCTAACCTAGTGAAAGCCTGCAACGGAGGCACCAAGGAAGGACGCTCAAGGCAGAGCTTCCCCTCTT